AAAATAAAATAAAATAAAAAAGACACAACAAATCTCCATAGAAGGCTAATGTGTTAGTTGTTTGCTGAGTACTACAGGTTGGTTCCCACCCATCTAAGCTCTCCCTTATATCACAGGGGCTAGAAGTCAGAAACTACATTTCCCAATCCACCTTCCCCACCCCACCCCCCAGCCCTTGTGGGCAGGTTTCAGTTCAAGACCTATGAGTAGAAAGAACTGATATAAGATTAAAGTGAAATGCTGGGACAACTGGATAGTCACAAGCAAAGGCTGAATTTGGACCCCTACCTCAAATCATATATAAAAATTAGCTCAAAATGGATATAAGACCTAAATCCATGAAGTAAAACTATAAAATTGTGATTTTGCAATGGATTCTTAAATAGGATAACAAAATACAGGCAGCAAAAGAAAAACAAATAAACTAGACTCTATCAAAATCAAAAACTTTCAGATGCCAATGGACATTATCAAAAAGTGAAAAGACCGCTCACAAAATATTTGTAAGGGATAAAATATTTGTAAATCATGTACATGATAAGGATCTAAACTCTATTAAGAACTTGTGTGTGCCATGTGCTGTGCTAAGTTGCTTCAGTCATGTCTGACTCTTTGTGACCCTATGGACTGAAGCCCACCAGGCTCCTCTGTCAATGAAATTCTCCAGGCAAGAATACCGGAGTAGGTTGCCATGCCATCTTCCAGGGCATCTTTTTGACACAGGGATAGAACTAGTGTCTCTTGCTCAGTAGGCAGGTTCTTTACCACTGAGCCACTTGGGAAGCCCAGTGTTACCATGTGACCCAGCAATTCAACTCCTAGGTACCATATACTCAACATATATACATCCATACAAAAACTTATACATGAATGTTCATATCAACATTACCAATAATAGCCAAAAAGCTGAAATAACCCAAATGCCTGTTAACTGATGAAATGGGTAAATGAAATGTGGTATATTCATATAGTGAAATATTATTCATCAATAAAAGCAAATACTGATACGTGCTACAAATGCATGAACCTTGAGAATATGCTAAGCAAAAGAATCCAAGCACAAAGGATGATATATTCTAAGACTCTATTTACACAAAATGTCCAGAATAGTCAAATCTATAGAGATGAAAAGTCAGTTAGAGTTCACCTAGGGTTGGGGAGGGGGATGGGGGGTTGAGGGGTGACACCTAAGGAGAAGGAATTTCTTTCGAGGATAATGAAAATGTTCTAGAATTGACTGTGGTGATGGATGCACAACTCTGAATATACTAAAGCTAGTGAATTATACACTTTAAATGGCTGAACTGCATGGTATATAAATTATATCTCAGTAAATCTGTTTTTTAAAAATAGATTAAAGTGAAGAAGAAAGGCAGGGCCACAAGTAGAGGGGTACTAGGCAGTGCACCCCTCTAGCAACTGCGCTGGCTCTGCGGGGGTCCAAGAGCATGGGTCAGAGCAATCCAGGATAAGACGTGTGCAGTCCCCTATGGGGTCTGCAGCAGCTTCCTGGAGTCCATAAACACTGACTAACACCAATTTCCTCTCCTTCTTTTTTTCTCTTTCATTCCTTCCAGCAAATCTGTCGCTGAATTCCCTGGGTTGAAGCTCGCTCTGCTTGAAATTCCAAGAGTGATTTGTTTTCCTAACTAAACCCTTGCTGTTATTATTGCCTAGAGAACATCCAGCCTCCTTGTTCTCTTCCTAACAAATTCCATATTTCATTCAGGTCCTCACTCCGCCCCAGCCTAGACAAATGCCTGACAAGACTGTGAGTCTCCCCCCGCCCTTCCCACCTCAGCTTCAGGGTTCAGCCTGATTTTGGTCTAAGGCTAATCCCATTCTTCTTACTAAAAATTGGTTTAGAAATAGGCCGGTGGCCCAGTTATACAAACAAAAGATAAAAAGGGGTTTGCCAGAGACTTCTAGGAATGTTCTTCATTCTTAAGAAAGAAGCATGAAAAACCAATTATATAAAAGAGAAAAGCCTAGCTTCTGCAGGCAGCTATCATAGAACCTAGACAGTAGCCCACCTTAGAATGAACATGACTGGCAGAAGGCAGAGCAGAGAAAACCCAACTCTTTAACTGTTGAATCTACACACTCTGAAGCTCACCTCAGCTCTTGACTTCTAAAACTTGCCTCAAGGCAATTTGAGGTAACTTTCCTGTTATCGCAGGAAACATCTTAATTTAATTTATGCCCTGAGCCACTTTGAAACGGCAGCCCCTCCAGGCAGAAAGGGCATGAGATGACTCCTTAGTTTCCCATAGTAGCATGAAATATCATGTAAAAGGTACCTCTAAAAACTGAGACATTTAGCCAAGATGGGGCTGGTGGACCTGGAGGAGACTGGCAGCCAGGATGAGAAGGCATGAGGCAAGAACTACACAAAACCAGAGAGGAGGTAGGAATGCAGACATCAGGAGATGACGGTAATGACAATCAGGAACCAGATGGTCCCCTACATCACAGCAAATGCCACCCAGGACAGATGAAGGATGACCTGGGCCATACCCTCCCTTCCCCCCACCTGCATCCCTCAAGCCTTAGGAGGATGATGAATTGACTGGATTAATTTCCCACCAACAAACAGAATGGAAGTTCAAAATGAAGATTGTTGGATCATGGGAAGATGAAAGAAGTTATGGAGGGAGAAAATCACGGCCCAAGGAGTGTACCTCCCACTAACGCAGAACTCGTTCTTCGGCCAGAGTGGCAGGGTAAGCATGATCCTCTTGATTCCCCAAGCCCACCGAACATTTATCAACCTTGTCTTCATGGAGGGTCACAGCCCACCTTGTCAAACCCTCCTCTGTAACCTACTCTCATCTGGAATTGCTCAAAGTTCAGGCTTAAACCATCTCATGAATGGAATTTATATTACAAGAGGCTCATGGGTGCAGTCCTGATTGGAAGGCTTGCCTTCAACCACTCCCTTACCACTGTCTTCCTGATCAAAAAATGGATATATAATTAGGTAAGAGAAACTCAGAGAAATGCTTATTTATTCTGTTCCACCACCCTAAGCCTTTTTCCTTACATGTCTTCCAAAGTCACACCGCTCCAAATCTGAAGAAGATAATACATTTCAAATCATTACTGACGGATACTATGCAACTCAAAGTGGGTATAACTTGGAATGTGAAAGTACTTACCACTCTTTTCTCTGACTGAGTTTGTAGAATTTAAGTGGCACAGTGCTTGAAAACAACTGTTGTCATCATATAATTTCTTATTTCTTAATGTTCTTCTTCATTGCGTCATTCTTCTTCATGTCATTTGGTCTCTATTCTGAAATTAAGAAAAATTTTCCATTTTTATTCCACAGGGAAGAGAATTCACTACACAAATTGCAAATACTGAACACAGCTATAAGAGCAAAGTTGAGTATCAGATTGATGGTCCTGTATCTTATTCCTGTTATCATCCTTCTATTAAAAAAAGTTAAACCTTTGCATGTGCAGAAAATAATTTAATCTCTATATTTCACCACTATGTTAAATATATTCTTTAGTTGAGCATTGATAGAAAATTCTACTGCTGCATAGAAGCATATTTTAACTTTTCATAAATGTGAAAAGGTGCAATTCTTTTTATTCCTTGTGCTAGCAATCACAACTTTATAAATGGATATTTAGTAATTATATACATACCTATTACAAAGAAATTTAAATGAAAACTGGACATTCTATATCTTGTCACTGAAAATCTGAGTTTCTACGTAAGTCTAGTTGCTAAGGATAAAACTTTCTTATAATATTTGAAGGTTTATTTTTAATTTTCTACCAAATGCTGATTTTCAACTTTGCAATTAGACCATGTGTTACGGATTACTTTGTTTGTTGAAATGTATGCTTAAAATTAAAATATTTGCTTAAAACTGTTGTAAGTGTTTACTTAAAATTATAAACTATATTTTCTCTAACATGTCGGTGTTGCCCACCAATTTGATGAGACTAAACCCATCTGGGCACCACCTGATCTATTTCAAATTATTCCAACCTGAGCAGAAGGAATGAAGGAGATTTTATTAACATTAACCTTTCTTAACATTTAGAAACATGGTTAATAAAGATTTATTTAAAGGCTCTAACAGCTCATTTTAAAGCAGTGTTCCAGGCACATGTCCACAGTGTCTTCTGGGCACCATGGGGGGCAGTGAAGGCAGTCCGCACTTCCCAGAAGGTATCAGTGGTTGGTGTGAGATGGAGTGGCAGGGCTGATGGCAGTTCTCTCAGTGTCTGGTGGGGCTGTGGCAGTAGCGTTTCTCCAAGGCCAGTTCCACGGCACAGTTTTCTAGAATCTACTAGACAAAGTGCTCCCCACAAACTAGGGTATAAACTATAAAAGAGACATGGAACCCAACAAATGGACTCTCCAACATGAGGAAAAGAAATGTTCCCAGGATGACAATGAACAGAAGGTCCTGAAAAAGTGTGACAGCAAGTGTGGAGAGTAACCAAGTCCAGTGTGAAGTGAAAAGATGGCCCAGGATGCATATTTTCAAGAACTGAATTCCTATTCACTTTTTTATGAGTGCTTGACTGAATTTAGAGTTTCATCCTTTTGGGTTTTTTCTCTCTCTCTTCCTCATTTCTCTCCATCTTCCCCTCCCTCCTTTCCATCTCCACACCCCCCCACACACACACCCCATCAACTGCATCAATCGCAAAGCAAATTTAAAAGTGAGCAATTATTAACTCCCTCCAAAAGTAAGTTGTATATGAGAGGAAAGTGTAGGACACTGTGTATAAGAATAGTTACGTAGACATACTAATTTTGACCTTAGATACTGATAGACTCAAAAATATTGTCAGTGAGGAGAAGAAGGTGAAACATGTGCTCATTTATGTGCTGTGTGTTTGTGTTGCGGGGGGAGTGGTTGGGTTTGAGGAGTGGATCAGAAACCTAAACCTTACTCTTCACAATAGGAAGTGAAGTGATACTCTTCAAAACTGAAAGAAAGAAGTAAAAACTGCTCAAAGTGTTGGAAACTGTTGACTTTGGGAGTTGGAATCAGAAGCTGAAAAGAGTAAGGCTGAGAACTGTTATAATAAACTGGCAGAACTCATCGTATTTAAAGTATGTGTAACTCTGACAAAAACAAAGATTAAAATTTTAGAGACAAATCGTTTTTAAATTCCCCCCAAATTCCATCATTATTTTCATTAGACTTTCACTGAGTTTATGCATAAACAATTTAGGAAGAATTGACATCTTTATAATCCCAATTATTTCTCTCTAAAAATATGGTTAAGACTTATTTCTGTCCTCAGAGTTTTATCATCTTGTTATATGTCCTGTGCATTTTCCATTGTGTGTGTCAAAGCATGCTATATTACTCTTTGCTATTCTAATGACATCTTTTTCCATTATGTATTATAACTATTACTAGTATATAACAATTTTTCGTATTTATTTGTCTTTATTATTTATAAAATGTATATTATTTATTTCTATATTTTATCATAACTTGCCAGCTTCCTGAACATTTCTAATATTTTTCAACTGACTGTCTTCAGTTTTTTAGATACACAATCATATAAGTGCAAAATTATAATTGTATATTATAATTTTTCTTTTCAAATATGTATAGTATTTCTTTTAGTTATCCCATTACATTGGTTAGAATTTGTTAAATACAGCTCTAAAAATAAGAGAGAGTGGCTGTGTTGCTTTCAACTTCAATGGATATAATCTTAGTTTTCTCCAACATTATTTTTACTGATTTCAGCAAACACTTGACCATATATTTCTCCTATTTAAGTATTTCCCTATCTAAATATTAATATCTCTTCATACTTTATTATTTATCATTTAGCCTTTGTCTAGTTATCTAGTTTTCTCCTTACAATGTATATTCCTAGTGGTATGGAACAGCGTTTTTTGTCTTATGCCAGAACTGAAAAGAATGGCTGACTCAATAGAAATTCGTTAAATGAATGAATTGATCAGTGATGGGCAGGTCACCTCTAGACAGTCAGATGCTTTATCTCTTTTAATCTGTGAAAAGCATTAAGGGCTATCGTAGTATTAAAATACTTTTGCATTTATGTAATAACATTACTTCAAAGTGGTATCTAACTGTATTTCCTAGTGTTTTACTTTAAGTGCTTGCATCTGTACTTATGAGCATGAACTGTAGCTTTGTTATATGTTATCTTTGTCAGGTTTGGTTTTTTTATGTTAACCATATTAAATTAATTAAAATATTTCATACATTTGCTCTATAACAATTTTAAGGTTACATGAATTAACTGCTTAATTAAGAGCATTCATGGAGAAAGTAATCTGCATCCTGATGCTTCTGCAACTTCTCATCCCAAGTCATTATTCTTCTACTGTGTTTCATTGTTCTTTATTATATAGGATGTATGTGACGATGCTTTCATTAAAGTTAAAACTATACGTAAGTGTAAAGACTAAAAATATGAGGTTCTCTCTCACTGCATACCAGAGTTAACCATGATTAACAGTTTAATACTTCCATTTCAGTATTTTTCCTGTGACTTCCCACACATGTGTGTGCATATGTGTGTAAAAATAATGGAGGTATGATCCTGAAATTTCCTTTTTTTCACTTTCCACATATATATTAAAATATGAAATTCATGTACTATATCCTTGTTAATAACTGTACAGTATTTAACTGCTCTTCTGCTGATGAATATTTAGCTCTTTCCCATTTTTCACTATAATAATCATTCCTGCTGTGATCACTGCTGTACATAAAACTTCAAGTCTATGTGCATGAGAAGTAGTCTTTAGAATAAAGACTGCCAACTCAACAAAAATGGGCAGTTTTATCTTACTCAATACTGAAAAATTTCTCTCCAAAAAAATGTTTGCTCTCTTACCCTCCTATCAATAGAATATCAAAGTGTCCCTTTGCCACATCCTTATCAACCCTGGGGGTTATCAAGCTTTCATATGTTTACTAATCTGATGCATGAAGGTTGATTAAAATGTATCATTAATTTACCAATGACTTTGTGCATTTTTGTAGAGTTTATTGAACATTTGTATTTCTTTTATGGAAACTGCTTTTCATACCTATTGCTAATTTTTATACTGGACTGTTTTCTTTTTCCTATTGATTCATATTGATATTAATCCTTTATTAATATAATATAGATATATTCCTAGGCTGTGGGTTGTCCATTAATGCTGTTTCTTTGTGTACAGATGTTTTTAGCTTTTATATATTTAAATATGACCATTTTCCTTTATGACTTTAATATTTTATATCTTTGATATGATTTCTTCACCCCAAGCTTATGAATGTCTTAATGTCTTTTCTACATTTTATCTGACAATTTCATGGGGCTTCCCAGGTGGAACAGTGGTAAAAGAGTCTCTTGCCAGTGCAGGAGATGCAGGAGATGTGAGTTCAACCCCTGGGTCAGGGAGATCCCCTGGAGAAGGAAATGGCAACCCACTCCAGTACTCTTGCCTGGAGAATTCCATGGACAGTGGAACCTGGTGTGTTATAGTCCATGGGGTCGCAGAGTCGGACATAACTAAGCATGCATGCATGCATGCGTCTGATACTTTTATATGTTTTGTATATAGCATAGGGTATGTGTCTAACTATTTCTCTCAAAATGGACAACTAATTCAGTTCAGTTCAGTTCAGTTGCTCAGTCGTGTCCGACTCTGTGACCCTGTGAATCACGGTCATGTATGGATGTGAGAGTTGGACTGTGAAGAAAGCTGAGCGCCGAACAATTGATGCTTTTGAACTGTGGTGTTGGACAACTAATTACCTCAACTATATTTCTTTCAAAATAAATAACTGAACTTCACCCTGAGTTGAAAGGTCTTCCAACTAATTTACCATCTTTATCATTGATAGCAGCTAGTATTTACATAGTTCTGACCATATTCTTCTAAGTTCTGACCAAGCGCTTTTCTAAGGGTTTTATGTATATTAATGTATTTAATCTTCACAACAATCATAAGATACAGGTGACATAGTGGTCCTTATTTTACAAATAAGGAAACTGGGGCATAGAAAGTTTAATTAACTTTCCCGAGAATGCAGTTACTTTGTGGTCTGGCTTGTGATTCAGTGTTTTTAACTATTATATGAAATAGCAGTGTATACTCCTATTTCTAAGTTCTAGTCAATTTTATTAATCAATATCTGTCTATATCTGTACCAACCCTATAATTCCACAATTATATGTT